TTTTTTTTGTAATGGTATATTTTCTTCACGCTAGAAGTGTCAACACTTGTTCATGTCTGGAATGGCTTTCATTCTTATTACTCTCAGGTCTAAGGTTTATTTTCTTCTCCTCTGCAGAGCTTTACATTTTAGTGCTGAGTGGTGGAGTTGGTGAGTAGGGACTACAGCAGATTTCCTGAATTTTTCTAGCATTTTGTGACACTTCACAAGTATAGAAGTGATTAGATGTATGTTGGCTAGTTGCTTTTAATGAAATTTTCCAGTGCAGTATGAATCAGAAGGAAAACTAAACATACATAAAGTACTCTAAAAGGACACTTCTGCTAGTAAGCATCGCATGGCTACCTCTCTCAGGATCACACTGAAGTAAGTTTTCAGATATATGCAATTAAACTCAAATGAATACAAAGGCTAAATAACTTCAAATGACCTATTAGCAACATACTGTGTTTATTACACAGCAAGTGATCATGCACTGTCATGTGTAAGATCACAGAAATCGCTCCTTTTGTCCTACTATACTTTAGAGTGTAAAGCATAGCAAGGAGTTTTTTTCATAAGTTATAACTACATGAAGAAAATAACCAGCATCTTGATACAAGACCCTGAGAATGAAATTTCCAACTCAGTGACAGTGTCTTCAAGGTGTCACAGTCAGCTCTCAGCATCACTTCCAGCTGCAGTCCTGAATGTATGGTGTAAATGCCCCTCATCAGCATGCCCCAAGATAATTATCTACCCACTCTCTACTCATGTGCTTGAAAATAATCTTTAATTTATTTTCATGTCTATGGCAGATGCCACAGTAAAACAACCAGTGGGATTCTCTCGTATGCGCCTCTGCCTCACTGGGTATTAATGAGATTTTCATTTAAATTTCATTAGGGAATGATTTCATGAATTCAGCATATGGGACTTATGGTTTAAATTGTTTAAAGTGGTACTTTGGCTCCGTAAATGTAAAGTATATATGACAATGGGGTATGTATGCCTACATAACACTTCTGTGATTAATTGGTCTATATTTTATGTAACAATCTGAATCTAAAGCAAATGCCACAACTTGCATTTTTTCCACTCTGAAAAATAGCATGAACTAGCTGTGCCTTTCTAGGCTGCATGTAAATTTAATTATGAGTGTGTCTGGTTTATATATGTTTGGGGAAAAAGAACTTTCCCCCTTAGCAATATCTTATAATAAATAATGGAAATATGAGGTGGTTTTGCTTAGATTATACCTGGCAATTGAAAGACTATCAAGTAATAGGAAATAAAATATTGGAAATTGTTGGAAAAAAATAGCTTAGATGGACAGTCCAGTGTGGGGAAAGGCAAATGATCAGTTGGAACTTCACCTGCAATCAAATGACAACCATTCATTTCATGCTAAGGTTGAAATTAATACATATATTTATCACAACAGCTACAGACAGTGGTCTGGATTGTACCAAGGCAGAACAAGAAAGGAACAAATGCAAACGAGAACAATATGAGTACTGCCTCTAATATTTACCATCAAAATATAAAAGAAAATTAATATTTTAGAGGAGAACATAAGAACATCCTAAAAACATTTTCATTAGCAAGATAGGCAAATTGTTTTGCACAATGGGAAAATTAATGTCAGGTTTTGGGAGGCTTTATACAATGGAGAAATCTGACAAATACGAGACCTTTTATTATTTGTGAGGACTTTGTTCCAGGTTGGAGGTGGGAATAGCATGGCAGAAAGCATTAATATTTTTATTTGAGACCTTAGCAAAAAGATAAAGATGACTGGCATCATAGGCTAGAAAAAAAAATAGCTGGTGGGATGGAGATAGGTAACAAAGTGCAAGGTGATGAAAACAAGCAAACGTTATTTAAAAAAAAAAAAAAGTAGGGAACAGGAACCAAGATAAATCAACACAAGGAAAGGCATTATCAAAGGGGTGAGGCAAGGAAGCGATATTTGCAGCTACATTTAGGTAAATAAGAGCTTGTAAAGCTCAGATTCTTTGAGTCAGATGAAGGACTAGGAAAAAGATGAATTGAGAGTTAATGTACTTGTTGAAATTACTATGGGTTAATGAATTAATAAAGTAAATGTGAAGGAGAAAGAAGAAAGAGCAGTTGCTGGAGAGCTGGGCAAGGACAAAAATGATTTGTTGGGTGGAAGAAAGAGTGAGAGCAAAATGATACTTGCATTATAAGAGATGAGATGATTATGGAAATGTGGGTGGAATATGACTGGGAAATATGAAATGGGCCAAAGGGAGGAGTGGTTTATCTGTACTTCTATAAGCTTCAGCCTTGACCTACAGCTGAAATCAGTCCTATTGCACTGAAAGAGAATGTTGACCCTGTCTTGAAAAGACAAATGAAAATCTAAGCAAATGCCCAGTTTATAAAAGCATGAAAGGCAGCAGTTCCTCCCCTTGGACAATGTTTTAGCAGAGTGGGTATGGCAAGGGCTGTCCCTGCTCTGACACAGTGACCACTCAGCTCCAGACTGAGGAGAATTCACAAGGGGAATGGATCTGAAGTGGCTCCTTGCATGCCCTATATGTGTTGCACAAGAGCCACTCCCATTATGTTTATTACTCTTGAAATAAAAGGATGTTTAAACTGAACAACTCACCAAGGCAAATGCAGTAGATGTTAGTTGTTCTCATGAGGATTGCTGTTTACTTTTCAAGCTATCTGATTTTGCTGCAGATTCTTCTTCAAATCTGCCCACTGATGTGTTCAGCAGTTTTCTTTCCAGAATATTTCTTCTCTAGTCAACCCTGTAGATCTTTTCAAGTGAGTGATTGAGACTTTCCATATGTTTTCACATAAGATTCCCTCCTAAATCACTACTGAAGTAGAAGTATACATTCCAGTCTATATAGAAAAGCCTGGATCCTGATCTTATCTGTACCAAACTCCCACTCACTACAAAAATCAGATCTTGTAACAAGGATGTCCTGACTCCCCTGCCCCTAACAGGGAAGCTTCTCTGTTGCCTTTCCTTAAGAAATAAGCTATGATTAGTTAGAAAAACTATGATCTGTTGGAAAGAGGAAAACATTAGATGGGCATCTTGTTGCAGCTTCTTTCACTGGTAAAATATATTAAATGATAACCCTGAGTTCTAATTCAATACTGACAAAATGTGGGGTATAAATGATTTATAAATTAAAGCATTCATTCAAATTAACAAAAATACTGATGGTATGATAGAGGACCATCTGTACTGTGCCATCTGGCAGGTAGAAGGACAAATAAAAATCAAGTAATATCATTAATAATCTTTCAGGGAGTACTTAAAATTTTTCAGTAAATTAGATTTACGGAGTTCATTACCTTTTTTAAGCAGGAACATACTGTCGCCATTACTTATGTGTAAGATGCAGACTTAACCTGGAATATGTCACCTAATTAACATAAGCAACACTTAAGTATCTCTGCAGTGTTTTAAGAAACCTTTAGATCATTTGTTATTCGGTAAATTTAGAAGCCTGAAGATGGTCCCACAATGGCTCCCAACCACCTAACTCTCTCAGTTTCAATAGGAATTCAGCACCAAATTGGAGCCCTGTTACTATTTAAAGTAGGTATGAAACTACAAAACTTTGAGGTTAGAGGAGAAGAAAGGCTTTAAGTCATACAAGCTATGAAAAGAGCTCTTAGGGAGGTTCCAGGGTACACCTGCAAGCAAGCAGGATCTTGCTATACAAAACACATCCTAAAAACTGTAGCTAAAAATAGGAAGTCCCATCACTTTGATAAAGTAGTTCTCAAGGAATGCAAACAGGGCAGTCAGGCTCCACATCTGCATGTTTCCTAAAAATAGAGCTGTGGGAAGAAACCACAAAACACAATTTGCATGCACCTGCAGAAGGTGAGATTGAAAGACCAGTTTGTCCATTTCCAGCCCAGCCCCTTTACCTGCTTCAGCAAGATAGTACAAGCAAAAAGTGCTTCTCTGAGGAATAACCAAGTTTGTGATTTTCTGTGTTAGCCATTAGTGTGAGATTTCCACTGATTCTGGGTTGGTTTTTTTTTTTCATAACTGATACATTGTAAGTATTCAAAGAGATTTTCCAAACACCTTTTTCTTAACCACATATCTCCACATTCCTGTGTAAACAATCCATTTCCATTTTGTTTACACACATTCAACAGTTTGATTCCCTTCTTGATTCCCAGACAAACCATGTTTCAGTCTTTTAATCCTCCCTCTTAAGTAAAACCCTCCAACTATACTAATGATTCCATGGTTCATCTTTGAACTCCATTCAGTTTACCACGATATTTATCTCTGGTAAAATTATACATACATCTAAAAAGCCATGTAAGGAAATTTTATTTTTCTGCTCTGTTGCATAATGATGCTGTATGCTCCCTTATCTTTGCTACATTGCTGCAAAATCATCTCTAGCTTCCAATCTGTTATCTCCTCGAGGTTTGGCAGTGCTGTTTTTGCAAGGTCGCTCCCTCCCATTGAATCTCTTTTGTATTAAATTTTTCTAGATATGCTTATCTTTCATTCTCAATCGCTCTAAGGGTTGCCTGTTATTCATGATACATACTTTATTTTTTCTTTGGTATTTGCAGCTCTTCCTCTTCATCAGATTTCATTAATTTTGTTTTTCCACCCTTCTGTAACTGTTTAAATAACACAAATGTCATATAACATGAGATCAAACACAAGAAACGGTCTAGTAGTAGCCTGTACACTGTTACTTTATAATTTAATGATTCATCTTTGTTAAGATTTCAGTGTATATTTCATGCCCATGCACAAACCCATTGCTATGGGAGCACATTTTCAGGTACATGATGAATGCATAAAAATCAAATTATATTACAACCATCATGCTCTTTCTGGTGTGCAGTGTTGTAATTCCTTTGCAGAAACAGCACTTGAGTTTGAGTGGCAAGGTCTATCCTCTATGAACTCAAATCACTTCTATGTTGCGTCTCTAGATCATTAAGGGCATTTATCAGCTCTTGCTTTGTTAATTTTTCAGGATTGGAATTGTGCAGTTGGATTGTGCTGGTAGGCACACCTTGTGGTACTGCAAAGAGGACCCCCTGCCACGTGTATCTGTCCTACCTCGAGGCAACTCAGACTCTTACGGAGAGACCAGGACTTGAGAAGACAGGACCATGCTAATACAGAGGTATAGTTTCTGAATCTGTGCTATAGAAATGCTTTTCCACAAATATATTTGTACAGGAGTGTATGCTGTGGCCTACTGTATGTACAAGCTCTTTCTAGTGCAAATCTTTGTAATTTTGCTTAAAAATGCTGCTTTAAAAATTAACATTCAGGGTTAGTTGGAAGATCAAGACCACAGTCAGATATTCTGCATGTGAAAGACAGCAGAAAATTGGGCTGCAGAGAAATGCAGGCATTACTAAAATACAGGGCAAACTGTGGCATTAATTTGCAAGCATCAATACCTGCAGCATGTTAAAATGAAGAGATATACAAATCAGGAAAATCTCAATTGTATCTAAGAGCTGAGGTTTGTCAGAAGTGTAACTACCTCGTTAAGTAATTTTCTTTAAGAAGCAAATGTGTTTCCAACCCTTTTTTATTTTTTAAGCAGGATTGTAGTTCAGTCTTAGAACCAAAATTCCCTGCATTGTTAGCCAGATAAAGATGGCCACAATAGCTTGTGGGTACAAATGTGAGACCAAATACAGGGGCTTGAGGAAGATTTCAGCAATGGAATATAGTCTGTTTCACTAATAGCTATTCCCAATCTCATCCAAAGCCATTTCAGATAAATATATGAGTAAAATGGCATCCTTCCATGAGCTGTGGTTATTTCTCAGAATTTCTTGGTTCTCTCCAGCCACCAGAAGTTTTCAGAGATGGACGTGCTGCTGTCCTTGAGAGGAACTGGAGGACGTCTCCATTTCTGAAGTAAGAGCACAGAGGAGTTGTGAAAGTGGAGTCTTCCTGTTTATTGCATTCCTTGGTATTTCATGCAGTCCTGGGAATACAGATATTTTAGAATTTACAGTATGAAATGTCAATATTGGAGTTTTGCTTAACCTTTGTAGTTTCTCCCTATGGAGAAAATTTTGTATTCTCTCTATGAATATTTGTGTGTGTGTCTGTGTGTGTGCGTGTGCATGAGCATATATATATATTAAAAATGCGTATGTTTATAAAATACATATATAGCACTTCCCTTAGTTTCAGAATGTCATTCCCTGTGGCCTTACCTCTATTACACACATCATTCATTAGATTATGAAAACCATTAATGTCAGGCAGCAGAACCAAATGAATTCACTAAGGGACCACCATTAGCATATCAAGTAGCTATTTCTCAGCTAAATATTCCTGACAGCCCTCATTACATATGACGGATGGGCTTTATAAGAGGTAGTAGTTCCAGAAGAAAATAAAATCTCAGCATTCTACCACATGTGGCCCAATAACTAGATATCATTTTTTGACTGTCTGTTTGCATTTCTTTCCTTTTTTTTCTTTCAGAATGAAACAGTTGTAAAACTCATAAATAGATTAACTGCATAATTCAAAATTCATTAAAAACTGTGGGCCTAATTTAGCCCAGTTTCTGAATTCTGTAGGTGCTTCAGTCATGGGATATCAAACACTGTGTGCCACATAGCTGGATTGCCAGCAGCCTGTCAGAAAAAAAAAAAAAGACACAACTGATAATAGCAGCTGAGGCTGGATTTTAAAAGACCGTGTATTGCAGAAAACTTTAGGAGTGGGAGCCCAACATTTCCTAAGATTAAAAAGAAAAGGAAGGAAGAAAAAGAAATAGATTTTGAAAATAAAAAATACAACTGTATCAAAGCCGTACGAAAAACAGGCACAAGCCACAAACAAATCAGTCTAACACTTCCTTACACCTGCAGTCTCCTGCTAGGTGCACAGAACTGTGGCAACTGATAACTCCCTTTGTGGGAGTACAGACTCCAGCACTTCATTCTACAACATGATAGGAAGTTTAAAGCTTGCTGCTGTATAATTTCATGGAAATGTCCGTAGTGCAGTTCGTGGCCATGAAAAGTTGGCCAATTTATGCTTAAAGACAGAAACTTTTTAATTTTTAAGGAAAGATGACATTTCTGTTCTTGGGACATTGAAAACAAGTAGCATGATGTTTAAGGGCTCAAATCATGTCATTTACATTGATGACAGAACTGAAGCCAGGCAAAATTGTCAGGGAAAACTGTGTTCTCATAAAAAGAAATCTGAGCATTGCTCTATAATCAGGCTATCTTCAAGTAAACAATTCCTCAGACACCCATTAATTCTATTATAATTAATTAACCACTTCTGCTGGTTCTAGATATGCACTAAAACTGGATCCAGTATTTTATTTCAGTTCTCTCTCCTACGTAAATGTTCTCAGTGGAGGAATCTGCTCCTAAAAACCTCAGTCACTGGTATTGGTGTTATAATCTGAACTGTGTATAAATGGTTTGTTTGTGTGATCAGTTTGTTGACTAATGGTGAGAGTGTATTTTCCATGCATTTTATTCTTTTTATTACAGTGGTGTAGCCAATGCAAGAAAAATTGTTATTTTAAATTTAGTGTTAAAGTAAACCTACAAATATACTTTTTCAAGCAGTCAAGCTGAAACATTAAGTTGAACACTTGAGTTTGATGTTTGAATTTTAAGTCAAGCTCAGAAAAATTCTGAAAGGTGAGTTGAAGTATGTTTTGTCATTCATTCACAGCTTTACAACTGTTATGCAGCTGAAAAACATCTGGCACTACAAAGAGCATGAAAGTGAGCTCCCACCCCACCAGCAGAAGCCAGTCACACCAGTAGAGTGGTGTACTACTGCTGCTTCAGCTGTCCATCCTTCTGCCAGTGGCTGGATGACTCAAGTCCCAGAATCTTCTCAAAAATATGAGGTAGGGCATAGTTTTAGAATATGTATGTTTTCCATCACACTTTACTGCTTTTCATTTTATATTACATTATTTCTGGAATACAAGAGGAAAAAAACTAAGTAACACTTCATAACTAACTTTAAACCCTCTTCAATTGCTATCACAATACCCCCAGTTGTTAGAAAACACGAGACTTGTCATAATTTCTTTGGAAGAACATGCCTTCATGATACTGGTATGTACTTTTTGTATTAAATGTTTTTAAGAAAAAGAAAATCCACTTAAATTCAGTAGTTTATCTTAAGTCCTGCAAATGTATCTTTGTTCTCATTGTTAGGTAGCGATATAAAAGCTGGTTGAGGCCATGATTTTTTGGCTACAGTGCACTTTCAGATGAGATGCAAATTCTGTATTTAGTAAACAAATACAGAAACTTTGAGACACAGCGGAAGTGAGTTGGTAAATATCTATGCTTATTGGCAACTTTTCAAAAGAGGGGATTTTCAAAAGAGGAAGAGCTGCTTCCTAGGCTTTTATTTAGAGGCTATCAAAAATCAAGGATCCAGCCTTGGTCTGAGTGTCTTACAGCACACATGCAGCAAAGCAAAGGGAATGAGCCAGAATCCTGTCTAGAGTGGGCCTCAGCTGCAGCAGGTGCTCCAGAAAGGGCTGGACCTTTGGTCGGAAACCAAGACCACCACCATGTCCATCCTGTGTCCATCTGCTGGAGCACAGAGCCAAAGCATCCTCCCCTGCCCGCTGTCTCCTCATCCTAGCCAGAGGTCGGACTTCCTAGGGAAAGAAAAGTTGGAAAACTGCTGTTCTTAGCCTATCCGTAAAGAGAAATAATATATTTCTAAGTCACTCATTAAGTAATGCAGGTACTTAATCAGCAATTGCTGACATCTGTATGCTTTTACTGCTCTTCTGCTTGGTAGACCAGTAAGGCAGACTAGTAACATAGCAGCCATTTCTGTCTTACACAGAATGCCTTCAAATATTTCCAGACTATTAACAGATTCCTAGATGTAACCTTTCTGACATATTCTGCCAGATTATCTGAAGTTTTCTAATGAATCTATCTCTCTTGCAATCTGATTCTGCCTTCTTTGAATTACTTCTGTCTGAATTATAGCTATAGAGTACCTTTGTGTTCAAAATTAAATTCTGCATGTTCTACATAGTTGATTCAGCAGGAAAAGCTCTGATAGCTATGGCCATTCTCTGCAAAATCACATCTTAGAAAACTTCCCAAAATGCCTGACTTCTCCAACTGCTTTATGCCATTAAAAATCTGCGTTTCATTCACCGTAGAGTTTTCAGTGCTTTTTTTCCAGCTGGCCGTCTTATCCCATCCATATCTTTCCCATATTTCTGAATTCATATTCGTCAGTTTGAGTCTCATTTTGTGATCCTCTTTGCAATTTTTTATGTTCTTTTCCCTTTTTGATTCCTTATCTTTACTGCTAGTAAGTTAATGTCATTTTCTATTCTAATCTTGCACTGTTACTCGTACTTCAGTACCAATAGTGAAAATGTTAGTTAAGATGCACCTTCTCCAAGGACACCCACCACTATCCTTATTGTTCTTCAAGTACAGTGCTTTAGCTGGGTTTTTCCTCAGCCCACACAGCATTGTTCCCATTCAAAATAAGGTAAATCACTTTTCATGTGTGTTTTCCTGGGAATTGCTATCAAGTGTTTCGCTAAAATCTAAGCACATAATCTCAAGTGCTTTTTTATGTACAGATTTTTTTGCTTGCTTGCTTTCTTTCCAAACATAGCAATATAATTTGAATAATGTGATTCATTATTTATAATGCTGGATTTTCGTGGTGCTGTTACCTTCTAAATCTTCAGTGATTTGACTTAAATGAGGCAGAAGACTCCTGTGTAAACCAAATTTTAAAACAGCAGGGCATTAATTTTATTATTATTCAAAAACATAGTATTATAGCAGAATCAGAAAATAGACTGGACACCTACTGCACAATGATTACCACTGCCACATACTGATGTAACAGAAGGATATGTTTGCTCAGTTTCTTTTCCCAAATTTAATTCCCGCCTACTACATGTTAACTTTTTTCATTTACCTTTCACTGTTGTTTAGAAGAAGGGAGTCTCCCAAGTTACAGAATCAGATTCATTAGAGAAAGTCTTTTAAAAGTATTTTTCAGATATTTACTGAAATCTTTGGAGCAACACTGTTCAACTCTTTCAGAAACATTTTTCCTTTCAGTTTAATTCTGTACCATTTATATAGACGAATCACGATGTGGTAGGAACACTTCTGAGATGATTTCACATTACCCAGAAAAGATTTCAATTCCTGTTTTAATGGCTTTTTTCCTCTCTTTTCCCATCCTATTCCCTCTGTCTCAGCTGCCCTTCTCTCCCCTCCTCTTCATTCCCCTCCTTTCCATGTACACTTCTTTACACCATGCAGACTGCTTATCCTTGAAAAATAAGTCCTCTAACACAAATGAAATTTAACCACCTGAATGTGAAAGAACTCAAAGTAAATGTTTGCTACTGAAAATCCCATGTGATAAAATTATAAGGAGTTGTAAAAGTATTGAATTTGGCTATCTAGTAATAGAATTTTTAACTCTGTGATTTATATTCCTGGCCAAGACGTATATTGAGATATCTTAGATTTTGATGGGAATTATAATGAAATATAATGACAGTAATACTTACTCCCTATGAAAGCACTAAAATGTTTACCATCACCTTTCCCATGCAATTAACTTCAACATAGCATTAATACAAAAGTGATAATTATTATGCAAAAGAAAACCTCGAGGGCATATTTCCATGGTGTAATGAATAATTTTCTTCAGATTGCCTCAAATTTATTCTGGTATCAACAGTTACATAGAAATGAAAAGGAATAATTAGTGATAGAAGTTCAGTGCAGGAAAATGAACTCTGCTACATATTGCTTATGAAAAATTAGCTTATACTCAGTTTCCATCAGCAATTGTGAAAAATTAATCACAAAACAACACCTCACAGATGATATAAATTGTCAGATAAGAGTAAACTGTTTTAGAAATTAACCTTGTATTAACCTTTATAATCACCTGCTTGTCCTGAGATATTAATTCTGATGATTCTTGCTACCTGTAAAATTATTTAAACAGACGTTGATATACAAATCCATAATATAGGTAGAGAATTTAGAATTGAGAATTCATTTAGCAGGGCTAAAATCTTGGTCTTCCTTTGGTAGTTATCAATTCAGAAGCCATTCACCTAACTGTTGGAATCAACAGGTCTAGGCAAGAGGGTGGTATGCCAAAATAGCCATTGCTCTAGTTCTGCCATGGTGCTGATTTGCATGTTCTCTTCTTCATATTTCATTTACTTATGTCTTCATTTTCCCATCTGCAAAAGCGGGACGCTAATACTGGCCCTGCTTGTGAAATACTTTGATGCTTGCACACAAGAAATACAATAAAGTTTAGCTGTTATTTATCATGGCCCATTCCTATATCACATGTAAGTCAAAGCTAGAAATATTTATAGATCAGTAGATACTTTTGTATTTCTTGAGTAGCAGAAGATGTCACAGATGTTCAGTATTATAAAAAAAAATATGAACAGGCAGACCAGAAAATAAATCACATTTGTGTTTCTTCTCTTTTCTAAGAAGTTTCTATGCATCTTTCGTCAAAGAGTGATTAATGATTCCACCATTTCCATCCTTCTGGAGCTCAGCCTTGACAAATGCTATTCACTGTTTCTTCAGTCATATGAATTTTAGAAAATATTTAGAAATGTTTGATTTGAAGGCATTCATTCAGATCGCAGAGAAATGCACAGTGTTAGTGAGTTCAATTTGAGAATGTGCAGTAGCGTGGAGAATATTTTAAGAATGTTTTATAAATATTTTCATGTTGCTGTGTATTGTCTCAAAATTAGAGCATACAGAAGAAATGTTGATTGAAGGTCTTGTTTGCTCTTTTGGCTACAAGTCAGAGTGTGCAAAGATTTGCTCACGTTAGATCATAATTAATACATTTGAAAAGAAATAAACTTAATAAAGTTGAAAAGAAAGTTTTTTGCAAGAATTAACACAGTAGATAGCTTGGTCAAATAACTATTGCAATCCAGTCTCCAGACTAGATCTTTAAAAGAAGCAGGGAATAAAACAGTTTGAAGATACAGTGCAGATTTCTGTATCTCTTTATCCTTAAGAAATTGTTTGAAACACAGAATTGGAATAAAAAAAAAAACATAATGACAACCTGGTATAAATGTTTCCCTCTCAGGGACAATTTTGGAGAGAAAGATTTATGTGGGGACTTGGCCTACACCTGCAGATATATTTACATACTAAAACGGTGGGAGCCAATGGTCAGGTCAGCTTACCGCATTTGTGGCAGCTCTGCTCACTACTGGTGCTTTCTGGAAAGATCATCAAGGCCCGCCTTTAGCCATTCTCTCCGACTTTGACCATTTATGGTCACATAATCCCACCTGAGTCCTTTCCCTCACATCAAATCAACTCCTTTCTGTTCTCAGAGATGCGCAGCCAGAGGCCAGGTCCCAGGGACCTGAGATGCACAGGAAATTCCAGTTGGAGCTTCATCATCCCAGTGTTTGGTGTCAATTAGGGGGGAGAAAAGTAGATTGAAAAAAAAGGATGTTATGCTTTTCTTCATATACATATGGGCTTTGGGAGATTCTGCAGTGAAGGTCCAGAGCTGGTATTTTTCTTTCAATAGATCATTGGCTGGGTCAGGGTTATCCCCAGCTTATTCCAGCATCTCTCTTACAGGTGAGAATCTACATATATGGTAATGTCAGATATTGCTTGGCTCTGATACCTTGACATAGTGTCTCATTTGTGGGAGGAAATGTCAAAATAGAAGGTCTGGAACCCACCACTGTGAAACATCCACTGTTGAGAAAATGTCTAGCAATTTCCTATCCAACATTTCTCTGTTGTTTCCTTGGTGTCAAGTTTATAAAGAGCAGACTTCCGTGCTGTTTTTTGATAGATGTG